GCAACAATGAATGAATGGAAATCCAAAGTCTCTGTAAATTTTCATTGAAATTAATAATAATAAATTTTTTTTAAAAAAGAGTGATCAAAAAACAACCAAAAAAAAAAAAAAGAGTGATCAGCATAGTATCACAAAACAAACAGAAAACACAGAAGCACAAAATAAGTAGAGGAAATCAGAAATACATGGAAGAAGTGGGAAAAGTGTAACTGAATTTTGGGCACTGAAATGGATGTTATAAAACAAAATGTATATGAATAGCTGAAGGAAAATTAATTTGCTCTGCAAACTTTAATGAAAATCACAATTTATAAAACTAATCTAAAGTAGAAAAGGCAACATTTGGAATTTTTTTATTGTCTACTTAACATTACCTTTCACAACCCCCATGCTCTGATGAGTTACTGATCCCCATTTGTATTTTGGTGTAGTAACTGAAGTTTTGACCCGTACTTTATCACCAATCTTTATGTGAGAAGGAGAACTTGGTGGTGGATAGCCTAGAGAGTTAAATAATAAATTAGCATTCAATTCCACAATATAGGTCTCTAAGAAAAAGTATGAAAATTTTAATAAAATGTGCTCACCTATAATTTCTACATGAATATACCTAACCCAGTAAGTGCCTCCCTTCTGTTGCCAATCACACTGAACATTGAGGTCATGTAATCCATCTCTATCCAGCTTGATAACTTTGCCCACATCTCCTTCACAGACCTCTTCATAGGTTCGACAGCATCTAACCATCATTCCCACCTATAACAAAAGTTAAATTTAAGAATCCAGACCTGTGCACATAAATAAAAAATTATAAATAACATTATACTTTTCTCCAATTTTCTCTAACAGCAGTATTAGAGAAATCATTCTGTACTAAATGAAGCCAGAGGTTTTTATAAAAATTGCTGGCTCCATGCTTTGGGCAGGAATGAGAAAAGATAATATAATAGACAACATGTAATAGAAAGAAAAGATGTAATAGCAGATAGGTGATCTTATATGTGCTCAAATTAAAAACATTAAAAAAAGGCATGAGAAAATAACAACTGGGAAAATGTGAGCAATGACTGGGTATGAGGTATCTACTATAGTATCAGTATTCACTGTTAGGTAATTGTTATATTACGTTAAAAATAAAAGGTATATTCTCTTAGGGATGTATACTGACATATTTACAGGAGAAATGCTCATCTCAAATGTTCTATAAAATAGTAAAATATTCATGACAAAAAGAACAGACTTTGAGATGTACAGAAAAACACAAATTCATTGTTGTCAAAGTGATAGCTGACCCTGCACAACGTTTTCCCCGGCTATAAATCACATGGGAGGAACTTGCCCATTCTTCCGTAGGGTCACTGGTGGTTTCAAATCACGAGAGGGATTAGAAACACAACTCCCTACAGACTTCACTATAAGAGCTCTTAAATGATGATGTTGTTGTTATTGTTGTGTACCCTCAAGTCAGAACTGACACATAGCTGACTCTCCAGCAGATTTTCAGAGGCAGTATATCACATGGAATTGTCCATTTTTCTCCCATGGAGCAAATGGTGGATTTGGACCACAAGCTTTTGGGACTGCAGTGCAGAATCTTACCAATAGACCACCAAAACTCCCTAAAAGAGGACTACATAAAATATAATTAGGATGAAAAAATGAAATTGGAAAGAATTAGATGGCAATTACAAATAACATCAGAAAAACAAGCAAAAATGGATACAAATGGATCAAAATGGAGTAATTAAAAAAAAAAAAACAACAAACAACCCAAAACCAAAACAAATTGCAGTTAAGTTGCAGCTATTGTCTAAAGCTCAAAGCACCCTGGAGTATCTTCTATTTATCTGTTTGGTATAACTCTGTTCCAGATACAATGGCCCGACTGCCAGGGGCTGAGTACATAAAATAAGGCTCTCATCAAGGTTCTGCCCTTCCCTAGACAGTTGCTTGCTTGCCAAATTGTCCACACAAGCTGAAATTGTGCATCTTTTAAATAATCACTTATTTTTAACATGTCACCTCTCCAACTGCGATCCCTTAACTCCAACTTGTTCTTTCTTCTTTCTCTGGTATGTATCCCTCACTTATATATAATTTGTTATACTATGTTCATTATTTGCCTCTGATCACTAGATTATATGGTCCATGAGGATATGGCCCTTTGATCATTTATCAGCACACAGTAGATGCTCAAATATTTCCCTACCGAAGAAATGCTCATAGTGCCGAGTAAGACAATTCACTTACCTGAATATTTTCTCTCACATATACAGCATAATCATCATTACTTAAGAAATCAGCTCGTTTTTTGTAAGTCTGGCTCTCTGTTACAACAGCAGCAGTACACTACAAAAGATATATTTAAAACATGGTAAGTTCGATTAATAAATTTCATTCTTAGTGGGGAGATTTAACTCTATTAGAAAATAAGGTATGAAATACTATATATTTTTATCACCAAAAAAAATTGTTAGGTAAAGATTAATAATAGACTTAAAATGCAGAAATGAATTTAAGAAAGCTACAAGCTCAGAAAAACCTTCATTTCCAAATTAATTGTATGAAAATAATTAACAAAGAAACATTTTGTTTGGAAATCAGTATCTTACTCAATAAAATTTTTAATAAATGATCTTCTAGTGGCCACCCAAAATCATAAGCTGTTTGAATAACAGTCTTAAAAATCTAAATGTATTTAATATGTAACTGCTTCCAAAAAAGTAAACAAAGAACTGTTATGTGCCCAGAAAGATAGTAGATAAGGTAATGCAATAATTATTCATAGATATAGTTAGTTCTTTCAAGGCACAGAAAAACTAATATCACAACACTCAGACAAAAGATGTGCTGGTAATTAACTGGGAAGACTCTGACCATGGGATAAGCAGTGTTGTCCGTGTCCTCCACCAATTCTTCATCTGAATATTCATCTGACACTGTGTCTGCATCTGAGACATCGGTGATATGAACATCAGAGTGGTCCAGCAACCACCCAACCAAGGCCTCAACACCTGGAGAGAAAGGGTAAGCATGCCTTGCAGGTGTTCTTGTATTAGTATTCAAATAAGAAATAGTGTACAACACCAGTAAGTAAAGCACAATACCAGGCAACCCTGAAGCATTGCCCGAAGATCCAGAGAGTGACTTCAGTGCAAACTCGATGTTTCTTCTAGGAAATCCCATTTCTGTGAGCTGAGCAATAATAGGGAGAGCCGGTACAGGTGAATGCTTGCGCTTTCTCACTCTGATGGGGCGTGCATGATGCATTGTGATTGGTGTTGTAGCCTCACTGGAGCTGCAATCCTCACACAGGGGGCTGGATGGGTGCGCCGACTCTACAGCTAAACACTGGCACACAGCCAAAGCAGCAGCCTGGTGGTATGTAAAGGTCACCAATTAACTTAGAAAATAAATGACCTATTATGAACAACAGTAAACAAGTTCAGAAAACCACACTTAGGTATAGATTTAAAATTAACTGATAAATTATGTCAGACAACACTATCATCAAAATTTAAATCTGATGAACCTGCTTTTTGCTAACTAATGTCCTTAGTGTTGAGGAGAAAACATGTGGCTAGAGAGAGGTCAGTCAGGAAAGACAGGATGTATCCTTTGACTATACTAATTCATTCTGTATTCTGAGTAAACAATCTGAGAAGTTAAGACTTTATGAAGAAGAAGGTCGCACCAACATGGAGGAAGATTCAACAACCTGTAATATGCAAAAGACACAGGCTTGCCTGAAAGGCACTCAATGAAGAAGATGAAAGATTACCATTTCAGTACAGATTATATTCAAAGAAAGAAAAATTTCTCAAAACTTGCTAAAACATGCTAAACAGAAAAAGAGTGGTAGTCAATTATTTCATTTTTCTTGATCAAGAAACGTAGAAGCAGCAGTCAAGAAATCAAAAGATGGTCCCACCTAATCTAAGGAGGCCCAAATGCCAAGACTGAGTGGGATATCTACTGGTTTTTTGTGCCACTGAGTTGGAACCAACTCACAGCTGACCCTCCAGTGGGTTTTCAGAGGCAAGAAATCATATAGGAGAAGATTGCTCCAAAGAACAAGTGAATTCAAACCACATGCCTTTGGGGCTGCAGCACAGCTTCTTACCACTGGGCGCTCACTTCAACATACCAGAAGAGTCCCAAGCACTGATGCCAGAAAAGAAGAGCTCCTGCGCTTGCCCCCTACCCCACCCAACCACTGAGAGCTACTGCAAGCTGAGGACCCAGAAACCCTACTTCCAGATGCTGCAAGGTGAGGATCTAATGCCCTGGCTCATGGTTGCGCCATCATTCCCACCCCCAGCTGCTTAGAATAGAGCATCCAACATGCCCACCACCTGGAGTCATCACACACACATACACTCCAGAAGAAAGGAATTTAAAAAAAAAAAATCATACCACTCCTTTAACGTCTTCGAAGCATCAGATAACCACATCAATCTCCACCAAAAACCGACTCATATAAGGCATCTCCTTAAACAACCAATCAAAATAGTCAGTAGGCCTCCCAGAATATAAAACGATGATTCAAGTCTCTGATAGTAGAGTCAGAAAAACAGTTGTGTTTTATCACAAAATGGGGGGGGGGGAATGACAAACTGAAAGAGTCCAAAAACAAAGCTCTAGAAGAATTTAAAAAACAACAAAAGACAAATCAGACAGAAGAAATGGAATACTAAAACCAGAGAAGGGGGGGAAAGGAACTGAACTCTAAAATAACCAGACTATATCACAGAAGTTTGTCAACAGGTTGGAGAGAGAGCCCAGCTAATTGAAGAAAGAGATGGAACACAGAATTGGCAAGATAGAAGAAAGGTCCCTTTCCCTTAAAAGTAACCTGCTAGAGGGACAGGCAGAAACAAGAAGGAAAACAAACCTAAGAATCATGTGAAAAGACACTAAGGAAATAGTGGGAAGAGTTATTAGAAAAAAAGTTAACAGGTATTATGAAAACGGAGCATATATACATCTAAGAAGTTGAGTGAAATCCAAAGACAGACCCTAAAAAGAAAACGCTAAGACATAGCAAAGGAAAATTTTATACAAAGTATTCTAAAAAGCAGCTTGAGAAAAATGAAGAATTATTTATAAAGGAGAGCCAGTAAGATTAAATGCCTATTTCTCAAAATCATGTGAGCAAGAAGAAAGTGGAATGGCATTTTCAAAACTCTCAAAGAAAATGAACAGAATCCTTTACTGAGCAAATTTATACAGCAAATATGATAGAGAAATAAGGGCATTCTCAGAAAAACAAAAACTAAATTTGAGGAACAAGACCAACTTTGCAAGAATTACTGAAATAATTCTTCCACACAGAAACCACACAGGAAAGTAGATGAACAGAGTAAACAACAAATTAGATAAATAAAACGACCAACATAAAGAACTCAACAAAATAACAGCAATAAATCCAAGCCTACTGATAATCATATTGAAAGAATTAAATGCGCTAAGAGAAACAAGAGTAGCAGATTGGATTAAAAGGCAGAGCTCATAAATACAGTGCCAAAAGTGATACACTTAAGAAGCAAAGAAAGAAAAACAAAATCAAGCTGTGAAAAAGTATATCAAGGCAAACAGCAATTTGAAGAAGGGAAAAAAAAAAGAATGTAAATATTACTCTCAGATTAAAAATAGACTCCAGAGTAAAAACCTGCACAAGAGACAAAGAGGGAGGGACATTATATAATTAATGCTTAGAGAGTCAATACACCAAGAGGATATCATTAATATCAATGTACCAAATGAAAGAGTTGCAAAATAAAAAAAAAAAGTGTTAACAAACGTGAGGACACAATAGAATTAAGAGACCTCAATACACCATTCTCAAGAGGACTAGAAACAAACTCAACAAAGGGGAGGAAGAACTAAAAACCAATCAACTCAACCTCATAGATACACAAAGAGCAATATACCCAACAAAAGCTCAATATGCCTTTTTCTTCAGTACACATTGAAGATTCTCCAGTATGCATAAAAGATTCTAGCAAGTCTTGACAAAAAAAACCAAAAAAAACACCACTGATGAACTACTACAAAGCAACTGCTCAGATCAGAAGGCTATATAGTTAGAAGTAAAAAGCAAGAGGATAAAGGAGATAAATAAAAAGAGTCTTAGAGCTAAATAAATTTTAAATTAAAAAGTTTCTAGAAACAAATGAGAATGAAAACACAACATGCCAAAACCTCTGGGATAGAGAAAGAGGAAAAGAACCACACAATAATCTCAATTGATACAGGAAAGGATTTTTAAAAAAATCCAAAAGCGTTTTCGTTTAGAATACTAAGCAACAGATGAATAGAAGAAAATTTCCTCAACACTGTTAAAAGTATAAACCCTAAACCAACAGCTCAAACATCAAGCTCAAACTTATGATGAACTTATTATGAACAGGGACCAGACAAGGATGTCCATTATCACCACTCCTATTCAATACTGTATTGGAAGTCCAAACAAAAGAAATAAGGCAAGATAAGGAATAAGAAGCATCCAAATCAGCAAAAAGTAGGTAAAACTATCTCTATATGAAGATGCTATGATGGTATACAGAGAAAGCCCTAATTCAGAGAGAAAATTGCTGGACCTAGTAATAATTCATCAAAGTGGCAGAATACAGGTTCAACATACAAAAATCAGTCAAGATTTCTCTATAGCAGCAAAGAGAATTTAGACAAAGAAATAAGAAAAACAGTAACAATTACAATAGCTAAACACAGGATGAAATGCTAAAGGATAAACATAACTAGAGACACAAAAGACCTATAAAGAAAACAACACAACACTATCATAACAAAGACGCCTAGATACACGAAGAATATAGCTTGCTTATGGGTAGAAAGACTGAGAATAGTGAAAATGGCAGGTTTACAAAAAGCAATATACAAATTCGACACAGTTCCAATACACACATTGATGCCATTCCTCCAGGAGATGGAAATGACAACTTCCAAACTTATTTGGAAAGGAAAGAGATGTTGAATAAGCAAAGCTCTACAATATGAGAAAAACAAAGTTAAGAGGCATCACTCTCTCTGATCCCAAAAAACTACTATATAGACATAGTAATCAATCAGAGTGGTACTGGTATTGCAATACACACAGAGGCCAGTGAACAAAATTAAAAACTCAGAAATCAACTCATCTACTTGTGGTCAACTGATTTTTGACAAAGACACAAAATCCCTTAAAAGGGGAAGAAAACTTCTTTAAAAAAAGATGTTGGCAAAATTAGACACCGATCTTCAGAAAACTAAAACAAGGCTAAAAAAATTTTTAAATAATAAAAGGTTTGTTGATGGGCACTTAGGTTGTTTCCAACTCCTTGCTATTGTGAACAAAGCTGCAATAAACATGGGTGTGCATATATCTGCTTGGAT